CATTTTTTATTTTTTGAGGACTCTCCATACTTTTTTCCATAGTGGCTGTACTATTCAGGTCCTCTGCCCATTTTTTTTTAACTGGATTGTCAGTTCTTTGTATGTCTTAGATATCAATCATGCATCAGATATATCATTTGCAAATATCTTCTCCCATTTAGTGGATTGCCTGTTTGTTTTGTTGATGGTTTTTTTCACTGTGCAAAAGGTTTTTTAATTGGACATAACCACATTTGTTTCTTTTTGCTTCTGTTGTCCTTGCCTGAAGATACATAGCCAAAAAAATATTTATAAGACCAATGTCAAAGGGTTCACTGCCTATGTTTTTTTCCCCTAGGAGTTTTATGGATTCTGGTCTTACATTTAAGGTTTACCCTATTTGGGTTTATTTTTGTACATAGTGTATGGAAGTAATCTAGTTTCACTTTTTGCATGTAGTTGTCCAGTTTTCCAAATACCATTTATAGAAGAGACTGTCATTTTTTCATTGTGTATTCTTGCCTTCTTTGTCATAGATGAATGAAGCATATAACTATTGATTTATTTCTGGGCTTTCTATTTTGTTCCATTGATCTATGTACCTGTTTTGTGTCATTACCATACCATTTTAATTGCTATAGCTTTGTAATATAGTTCAGAATCATTAGATGAATATGATACCTCCAACTTTGTTATTCTTTCTCAAGATTTCTGTGTATATTTGGGGTCTTTTGTGGTGTCATACAAATGTCAGAATTAGTAGCTCTAGTTCTTTGAAAATTTCCTTACATATTTTGATTTTCTCTACTATTTTCCATTTTATATATTTTACCTCTAATCTTAGTTATTTCTTTCCTTATGCTACTTTTCGGTTTAGTTTTCTCTTCTTTTTCTACTTACATAAGATTTAAGGTTAGTTATTGACTTGAGCTCCTTCTTCCATTATGTGTTTGCAGCTGTAAATTTCCCTCTTAGAAATGCTTTCACTGCATTTCATAAACTTTTGTATACTTTGTTTTCATTTTCATTAGTCTCAAGGTATTTTGCAATTTATCTTATTTCTTTTTTACTTATTGGTTGTTCAGAGTATGCTGTTTAATTTTCACATATTTGTGAATTTTCCAGTTGTCTTTCTGTTAATGATTTCTTGTTTCATTTAATTGTGGTCAGAAAAATGTTTGTATGATTTCAATCTTTTGCAATTGTAGTTTTTTGGGCTGTGACATTGTCTTTCCTAGAGAATGTACCAGGTGTACTTGAGAAAAAGATATATTCTGCTGTTGGGTAAAATGTAATGCATATATCAATAATGATGCTTTAAGCCTTTGAAATTCAAAATGTTATCTCTGATAACTATTTTCTATTGGAGATCCTTCTCTGCCCCGTCTGTACACTAAATTCTTACTTCATGGTTGTTAAGAATACTCAGGAAACATCTTAACCTAGTTCAATGTTAGAGCACATTTGCCATTGACAAACTAATAAACTGATATTTGTGTTATACAATTTATTGATATCTCATGGGACTATTTCACAGCAGACATACATTTTTCCCAAGAATTTTCATTTATGCTGAATCTATTTTATCTGGTGTGCTGCTTATTTCTCAGCATGCTGGATCCTACAAGCTTTCCCCTGTAGCCACTGTGTGTCATCATTAAGAAGCTTTGTCTTCAGACAAGCTTTAAACAAGAGCGCTCTCCCATGATGGTATTCAAGATCCCAAGGGGGAAATGGACCTTCACTGGAGATGCAGTTGGAGAAGTACATTAAGGATTTCCCAGCTCAGTAGCTGAGGCAGAAGGCTCCCTGTTCCCAGAGCAGCAGCTGGCATCACTGGAGGGTGGAGGGGGTGGGGGATAGGGGGATTATGACAGGATGTTTCCCAGGTGCATGGATGATGTGGTAAGCAAGGCCTGGCATCTGAGGAAGGAAAGGACTCAATGGCAAAAGGCCTTGTCATGTCCCTCTGACTTACAGAAGCAAATGTGTTTCATATTTTGTTTATAAATGTGATTCCACTGAATTGTATGTCATTAAACCCAGGTTCAGTTTACTTCAGTCTTTGTAAACACAGGAACTGTTACAAGACCACTCCACGCTGGGGGCTGGCCCTACCCCCCAGCACAGTCCCTAAACTTTCATGTTTCAGGTGACCTCCAGGTCCTTGACTCGCCCAGGAAAAATTGCAAGGAAGTATCCAAGTGAGAACAAAGCAAGTTTTATTCAGGTAGCAGAAAAGAAAGAGCCAGGTCGTGGGCTCCACTGTGAAAGAAGCAAAAAGTGAGTGGATGTGGGCCAATGTAAGAGGTGAGTTGCGCGCATGGTCAGTTAGTTCTTGGGATTTTATGTGTTTCCAAGGTGTGTGTCCTCCAAGGAGGGGGTGGGGGGGGGCGGGCGGGGTTGGGGGAGGGTGGTTGTCTCCAAGCTTTGTGGAGCCAAATTCTGACTCTGGTTGGGAAGGGACCTTGTTGTTGTATTTCCAGGACCACCTCAAGAGATTCCTGCAATTAACTGTTCCCTTGATCATGCCCAGAGGTGGGTGCTCTGGAGGGAGGATGTTAGCCCCCACACCCTCACTCCACTTGCTGGGATCTTTCCCCAACTTCTTCTATCATGCCTTAGAGCTACCGTCTCTCTATCATCAGCCAATGCCTTACTGACAAAGTATCGTGATGAAGAATAGATTTCCAGATGGCTCTCTTTATTTTCTTTGGATAGCTTCTTACTATAATACTTTTGACTCATACTTAGAATTACTAACCACATTTATTTTTCTCAGAACACAGCTGTTCTTTTCAGATAGCCAATATTTTTCTAGCCTTGATGCAGCAAAGCTACTGTTATTTGACTTAGACTGATGTACAAATGATTCCAGAAGGATAAAAACAAATAGGCATACAGAGGGTTTGAAACATGGTGGAGAAAGCACATATTTGAAATCAATCTGAACTTTGTAGCTGTCAGACCTTGGCAAATTCTTTAGTCTTGCTCAATTTTCAGTCGTTCTCTAAAAAATACCAGTTATAAAATGCACCACATACAATTGCTATAAGATTTAAATTAGAAAGATACGTAAAAAGTATATAACATGGTCTCAAAAATTATGCCTTTAATTTTTGAAATTTCAGGAAAATTGTTTAAAGTGCAATTACTTGTTCTCACCCTGTTATAGACTGAATGTTTGTATCCACCCAAATTGATTTGTGGCATTTGAAGAGAGGGCCTTTGGCAGGAAATTTGGTTTAGATTTGGTCATGAGGGTGGGGCCTTCATCATGTAATTAATGTCCTTATAAGAAGAAAGAGAGAGAGAATGCTTGCCAAAGAAAGACCATGTGAGCACATAGTGAAAAAGCACTGTCTAAAAGCTAGGAAGTGGGCTCTCACCAGACACTGAATCTTCCAGGACCTGGATCTTGGATTTCCCAGCCTCCAGAAATGTGAGAAATAAACTGCTGTTATTTAAGACACACAGTCTATGGTATTTTGTTTTAGCAACTCAAGATAACCAAAGCACAGGCTCTCCCTCTCTGGAGCATGCCAGAACCTTTCCTTTCAGGTTCCCTTCCTCCGCCCCGTCCCCTTCCCCTCAGGCACATTACAATTAGCTTCCTCACTCCCAAGTTCCAAGGGCCCTTCCTTTGCCTCTATAACTGGTTTCCTAAGCTCATATCTTCTAGGAATTACTTCTTATTACCTCTGTGATTTAGCGAATAAATGTTCTCTTACAAAAAAAAAATCGTAATATTTAAAAACCCAGGGTCCATGATGACCAGACTGAAGGCTCCACTGAACACTGGAAGTCAGTCCTGCAGTCGCCACGGCAACCCAGCACTGACTGCTGAGGGGGCTGCGGATCAGGCCTGGAGAGAGGCCTGGAAAGAGAGGCAAGGTCTGATCCGCTGCATCCATGGCAGCTGTTGATCAGCCATTGCCTCTCTCTTTCTCTCTGGGCTTTGCCAGCAGCCACACCTCTGTTTCTCTCTGGGCCTTCGCGGGGACTGCTGATTGGCCCCATCTTTCTGATCAGGCCTGGAGATAGGCCCGGAGACGCTGACTGGCATAGAAACCGACCAATCAGAACCAAATCTGTGTGAACTGTGAGGAGCAAATGGCTGCCTAGGAGGCGGATCTTTTGACACTGACTGGCATAGAAACTGACCAATCAGAACCAAATTCGCTGGCAGGGGAGGGTAGTTGGGGGAGATCAGGCAGGCAGGCAGAGGCAGTTAGGGGTGATCAGGCAGGCAGGCAGAGAGGTTAGGGGTGATCAGGCAAGCAGGCAGAGGGGTTAGGGGCAATCAGGCAGGCAAGCAGAGACAGTTAGGAGCAATCAGGCAGGCAGACAGGTGAGCAGTTAGGAGCCAGCAGTCCCAGATTGCGAGAGGGATGTCTGACTGCCTGTTTAGGCCCGATCCCTGTGGGACATCCCCCAAGGGGTCCCAATTGGAGAGGATGCAGGCTGGGCTGAGGGAACCCCCTTTCTGTGCACCAGGCCACTAGTAATAATAATAATGACCAAAGCACAACCCCCCGTATGTTTAGTAATTGTTCCAGGAATCTGCATTTAACAAGCTCTCTGGGCAACTTGAGTGTTATAACATAATTAGGACATGTCACTCAATGGAAATAGAAGTAAACAACAATGATAAAACCTTTTAAAAATTATGGAAAAAACAAACATCAGCAAATATTATTTTAGTAGCTTAAAAAATTAATATAAGAACTGTTGCACAGCTGTAAATGAGTGTAAATACCACTGGGCTTGCTCACATGCCTTTAAAAAAAATCAACAGAGATTCTTTACAAAAAAACCCCCAATATGTACAAACTGTGCTTTTCTAGAAGTAGACTCTGTCCTGAGATCCTCTTAAAAAATTCTAAAATAGAGCCTTGAGTCCTAGGGAGCTGGCAGCCACCATCCTGGTGCAGAAGCTTAATTTACACAAGCAGAAGCTGTTGAAGCAGGTGGACTTCCTGAACTGGCAGGTCACTGACCAAAACCTGCACAAACTTCACATGTTGTGGTCTTATCAGTTGCAGCGGCACAAGGACTACACGTGCTACAATCAGTTGAGCCGTTCTGAGCACGAGCTGGCCTGGCTCCTGCACGACCTGCCCAAGTGCAACCTGTTTCACATGTGTGCCTTGGCCACGCTGCTGGACAAGCTGTATGATCTTGGCCTGGTGCTTACGCACAGCTTGCTCTGCGACGTTGTCAGGGCCTCGTCCTTCAGCTACTGCCACCTGCCCACTGTGCTCCTTAAGCTGCGAATGGAGCAGCCTCTTCAGGCTGCCCTGGCCTTCCACGTGCCATTAGTCACTGACCCCACCTTCCTTGTCACATGCAGCATGGAGGACTTGGCCACCTGGGTTGACTCGTCCAAGATCAAACAATGAGGAGCGTGATGATTTTGATCTGGAAGCCTAGCTGTCTTTCCATCCTCCTCAAACATCCCCGCCCCCTGCCCACACACACACACACACACACCACCACCACCACCACCACCAC